TACAAGTTTCACTTTTTAAATGGAATTACTGAAATCAATCTACTTTTTCATGATATTCTAATTTTATGACCAGCACCTGTAATTGTTTCAGGCCTAGAGCCTAAATAGAACCTAAGGACCCGGTGCAATGAGCTGACATAAACACATGTGGCGCCCCCTTCGGGCAGTACCACTGAACTCTCTGGGGGCCAGTGTATGACATGTAACTATGTGTCTATAAACGCTTCAACCACATCACAATCCTGAACTTTAGCTCCAGCTTTGGTGTACTCCAGTAGTCAGACTGTTTTCTACCACAACTCCAGTTTTATCCCATTTAATTTATTTCATTGTTGCTTTTTGCACTTGATCTTAAGACTTTTCTTTTTTTTTTTGTAAAGGGAGGCTTGAAAACAAACCCAGTCCAAAAATAAAACTTTAAAAAAAGGTATCAAGAATACCTCTTTCATTAATTTTTTTTTATATTTTATTTTCCCCAATTTTATTTCTTAATTGCAATGTAAAAATAGATATTTTTTTCATTTTTGTTGAGTTTAGCAAGTTGTACTATGCAGGTCCAGCGGATTCCGCAACAGCTTCTTCCCCACTGCCATCAGACTGCTGAACTGTTGAAAAAAACTCTAAATCTTGTCACAGATTCTGCATCAAACTGATAACACCAAACCAAAATCCAGCATATTTGCATCATATATATTTAATGCTCTGAACTTCCATATCAAAGCATCTTTGCACCATGTCTCTTCTCCTGCACTGTTTACATTGGATCACTGCTGCACTTTATTAAATGAAAATAGTCTGAAATCTGTTAAAAACAAAATGTTATTTTGTATACACTCTGTATAAAAGTTGTCTAAGTGTAAGTATTATTTTCAAATTGCATTTAACAAACACATTCTCATTTTTAAACGCTAACGCATAGACGGAGCATAAAAGTACATGGTATCATTCATGCACAATGTGCAAATAGGAAAATACTACAGCATTAATAGACATATACTTGTAATTCAGTCTTGATGTAAAAGTTTGACATAATATGTAATATGTTATAACAACAATAATGTCATCAGTACCTGTATATTACATTTACATCATCAATTTAGCACTTTTGGCACATCTGTATTATTCTCCATTAAGACATGATTTTATTTTGATGGATTTGTATAATATGTTATATTACATGATTTAGAGACTTCATTGACATCATCTTTCTCAGATATCTTCTCCAAACAGCTAAAAGTTAAGACTACCTTTGATCCAAGCAGCACCAAGCACATATGATACTTATTTTATGAGCTTCACAGCTCAGGAATGCATTATGTGACTGTTTTTCAGTGGCATTTTAAAAGTGTTTGGAGCAAGAAAAACCTTAAGTGATTCCTTGTTTTACCCACCAGGTGGTGCAAGTTAATTGCCCAGATCTGTAGCCTGTAGCATGTTGTGCCAGAAACTAAGAAGTACCAAGTGTGAAAAAAACCAACCTGAATTTGAATTAAGCTGCCAGTTGTTATGCTAAGCAGCAACATGGTGGAGTGCTTTAAAAAGATAAAAGCCATTTGTGCTCATTACAGCAAAGAGAAACGACCTCCAGAAAAATACCGTATGACTCTCATGACCCACTTTAAACATGCTGGACTTTGGTAATATGACACTTAAAACGGATTGGGTGTTTATCTAAGGTATGACTCACACTGCATGCAATTTATCAACATCAGTAGAAATACAGCGCTTTTCAAATTTGGCCTCAAATGAAGGAGGTTTTACTTCCCTGCATATGTTTGGCCTTTGGGGAACAAAAACTAACTCAGATATTCATTATTTGAATATATTTAACTAGTTATTTTACCTGTTATCAAATATAGTAGTCTAAAAGCAAAAAGGATGGATGTTGCATAAAGATTTATGCCCCCAAGAGATTTAAGATAGAAAAGGTTTTGGAAAAAAAATAAATCAAACCAAACTAAAGGGAAAAAAAAATACACATTTCAATCCTATTTGATTTATGTTGTTAAGCTCTTTAGTATTTAAAGCTGCATGGCAAACACTATAAT